AGCTTTAGCTTTCAGTTGTCGTTCCGCCGCCCCCAACCGGGTATATAATTTAAATAAGCTCGCATGGCATAGCTGATGCACATTTGTTTACGATTCTGAAGCGTATAGCAATTTTCATAATGAATATTCTAATTGGTTTTTAATTATACAAAGAGCATTTCGTGTCTTGGCCCCTATGGCGATGCGAAATGGGTTAATTGCTGTTGGTAATTGCAATATTAGACGCCCCGCCCGACCGGAGCATGTGCGGCAGTGCAGCGGTGCAACAGGCGGCGTCAAATGGAGGTGCATTAATGGCGAACCCACAATTAATATGGATAGCCGCAGCTACTCTATCGAATATTGCACTCGCTGCATGGGAATGGCCACACGCAATAGACGCATTTGGCAAGGCTTGACAGGGCCTGGAGCAGGGGCAGGAGCCCAAAGGGGCGGCACGGCCAGTCTATAATAATTCAATAACGGTATGCATAATTCAACTGTGGCTACGACTGTGGCTCTAGCTGTGGCTGTGGCTGTGGCTGACGGTAATTGATTGTTTATTCAGCTAAATTCTGCCCAGGCAGGGGATTCTCCGATACCCTTTGAATAATGCATTGCGGACTGAGCTGATCATGCGGCGAACAAGCGCTCGTCTGTTCGCCCAAAACAAACAATCAAACATGGCGTGGGTGCTCATAAAAAAAAGAAACACACTGAAGATGATGAGAATAGTCGGGCAGGCATCAGGTCGCATCATAAAGTTGGCATATTTATGCGACTAATTTGAAATAAAACATAAAAAATATAAAACTCACCAAATAATGTTAAGAGTCTTGATTCGGGATGCCACAAGAGTGAGATGCATATCAACAATTAGAAGCCAGACCAGGCGCCCCATCGTCACGAGAGAATCGAGAAATTTGACGCTTTTACGAGCGCTCCACACTCCGCAGACAGGCAGCATAATGTCTCTCTTTGATATACCAAATTAAAGCAATGGACAGTGGACACTGGACAGTGGACAGTGGATTGCTGGAATCTGGTGATACGAGCACTTTGCATATGAATGAGATGGCGCGTCGTCAGGTCAGGTTAGCGCTGGCGCCGCAGAGAGCCGAGCAGTTGAGCGCGACTACAACATAATTGAGGCAATTAGAAAACATCAAAATATTGGGCCTGGCCACRGAAAATTGTTAAATAAATAAATGCTAACAAATTTTGATCTTAATTAAGCACTTGAGCGCTTAGCTGAATGTTTATGTAAAGTCTGGATAGACAACAGTAGACACACACACAGACACACACGCACACACACATATAGAAATAACAAATACATTTGAGCCGACTCTCAGGCCAGGGCATAATGCAATTAAAGCCAACTCTCAAGCACTGAGCAATGACAAAGCGCTTTTCAATTCAGAGCTCAGAGTTTGTTGTGTGAGTCCAAAGGGAGCTGGAACGAACGCCCACATTATAATCATTCAATTAAAACGCTTAGGAATTATTATTATGACAAACAAATGTCGAGAGGTTCAAAATTGATGCCAATCTTTCGGGCTAACCGCAGGAAGTCGCCAACGGGCAACGGGCAACGAGCAATGGACGAAAGCCAAAAGGCGGCTCGAAATTACAAGCAATTGAAAGAATGCGATCCATATCGCTGGCCAACTGGCGGAAGTGAATTGAAAAGTTAACTGGTGTGGCGTGGCGTGGCTGAGTGAAAGAATGGCCGCCAGTTCGTTGCCTAAGTCTTTCGTTTTCGTTTAGACAAATGCCTCAACATGGACTTTAAATTAATTACTTAATTTAACACAACACATGGTCCAGCGACACCTTCGATGACATCCCAAACGTTGACAACAACACCAACTGTGTGCTCAGTCCACAACAGCACAAAGCACTAACGTTGACAACTCGGCCAGCAGGCGAAACCTGTTGGAGATCGAAGCGAGCAACAGTCCTACGGCCCGTGGACTGGGCAGATGGGCAGATGGGCAGATGGGCAGATGGGGGCATAACAGATTAGTTAGCATATCCCATATCAGGGTAATTATTGTTAAATGAGTTAACGATCTTGTACTGCGTTGACATTTATTTATTTTCCTTAATTTCGCTGTATTAATCTTCCTGGAAACACACATTAAACACACAGCACACAAACACTCTGCAGCAAGGCGAAAAGCACAGCAGAAATCAGACAGAAAACGAAGCTGAAACACACACACACACTAGCACACACACTCACATACTCGGTCGGTTCGCTGTGGCACGTCCCGATCGGTTGAGTGTGCCCGTAATGATCATTAGCGGGCCATGAAAATCAACAGCATCAATTTGACTTTATTGGCATTGCATTGGCAATGGAACGAGCATGGGGCACTCGCAGCGCTTGGCGAAACGTCCTTTGACAATTTGCATCAGGCAGGCAATCGATCAATGAGCCACGAGAGAGCTGGCTAATTAATATATTATATCGTTACTATCGGCAAGCTCATCGAAATCAAAATGCTTGGCAATTAAGCGAACATGTGAACAACAACAGCAGAAACACACACATATTTGAGATACCTGTAACAAAACTCAATTAAAACCAACAACAACTTTGGGCAGCTGCCACAGAGATCGGGAGAGAAGCAAAGTAGAGAGAAAAAGAGAAAAAAAAAAAATCAAGAAATCCCCCAACAACCAAAAAAAGACGCAGCTAATTTAACCAAATTGGATTACTTAATAAGTTTATTGGATAAATAACTTGGCCGCAACAACAATGACGAGACACACAAAAGCATAAAGTGAATGTTTTGTTGTTGCTGTTGTTGTTGTTGTTGTTGGGGCGCGCCACAAGCGCACAAACCTTTTGTGGCAGCAGACACAAAATCAGCCACGGGGCAAAGCAAGTTGTATATAAAAATTGTTGAGCTAATTTCTGAGAATTACCAAAACAACAACATATGTCCCCTCTCGCTCTCACTCACACAGAGAGGGGGACAGACCCCTCTCTCTCTCTAATGTGTTTTTGTTCTACAGAAACATTTGAAATGATATCGTCAGGCAAAGCAGAGCTGCAGCTAAGCCCCCAATCAAGTGGGCGTCGTAATTTATTATTAATTATAATCAACTTTTTGATAGACAAACAGTCAGCACAGCAAACTGCCAAGCGGAGCGCCTATCGAGGCATCGCATGTGCGTGCCTCTAGACAAACAAGACACGGCTCGGTCAATGGATGTTTAGCCAGAGCCAAGCACTTCATTTGTGCTGTCTGTGTGCTTTATGCGTAACTGCGATATATATCAGAGACTCCTTCTCACTCTCCCTCTCTCCCTCTCTCTCACCCGGTATGTGCTCTGTAATTGACTCTAAGGGTTTGATTTGTTGAGCTCCTGACACTGATTTATGCATGAGCCTTATTTACATTGTTTACTCGGCTTTGGCTTAAGTTGTGCAACCAAATCATAGACCAGACGCCTTCTGACAGTCGGCCGCAATTTAGTGCTGTTAACAGCTAGTAATTAGCAATTAGACTCGATTTGCCTATTAATTAGCCATATCAATGACTCGGCCAGCGGATCTGCAATGCAGTTCCCATTGCATATTCATGGGAATCGCAGCGAGTTGCGCGTTTATCGATCTGTCCCATAAATTGTGCGCTAATGAACATAAATTTTGATTTAGAAACCATTAGCACACCTCGAGTCAAAAATGCCGCGTTGTCAATTCCAGCCAACTCGTTTCAGATACATATATGAGTATTTATGTGTGTGTGTGTGTGTGTGTGTGTAAGCTACACCTCCACCACACCCACCTGCATCGCCTGCACCACCCCTACGTACTCGTCTTTTTGATCTCACTTGCGCTCAATTAAATTCTACAATAAAACACGATTTGCATTTCAAATTGTGCAATTAAAATGCTTATGAAATCTATAAAGAATCGCTAAATGCATTTTATGAACACCAGCTCGGCGTAGTGCTACAGCAACTACAACAACTACAACAACCACAACAAAGTAATGCTAAATGTCACACGTTAATTAATTACTAGCGCATAATTAAAAGTAGTCAGAGTGTAAATCTGTCTCTGGCTTTATATATGACCTCTTCATATTTTTGTCGTTGTTGTTGCTGTTGTTGTTGTTGGCTGGCGCCTTTCTAAGTAAAAGCTGATATTTTTTTCCCGTAGCTTTGCGAAAGTTTAAGGAAACTTTTTCTGAATTTTGTAAAGTGCCAATTTGGTCTGGGAGCCCCTCACTTTTACCTCGAATTGCCTGGCATCGCAGTTATATTGTTGTAGATTATGTAAATCTGTGTGTTTTGTGTAGATGAAAAACAAGCTGATTGAAAACAATTTGATTGAGTTGCTCAAACTGTGGAACTGGCTTAGCCCAGCTCGACTCTCTAAGATGAACAATACCTGAACATATTATAAATTTACTATATATTGTGTAAAGGAAAAATCGAATAATTTATACTAGTTGCAAAATAACATTGATCGATTTTCACAGGTATCCAATGCTGTTTACCGTTTACAGTTGTCAATTTATCGCTCCCAATTCCTTCGCCCCAATTAAAAAACATTTGCTTTGTTTTATATGTATTTTTGTTCTTGCATAAGAATATTTGATATATTTATGTATATTTCTTTAAGCATTTTTTTAATGTCTTTTCTTAACAATTACAACTAAAGTAACTAAAGCTTAAGTTCTATCGTAAGCTGGAAAATGAATGCCCGATTTGTTCGCTTAGTGTTAAATATAAATACAATTATTAACATAAATCTAGTGATAAATAAATGCTAAATAGATTTACCACAATTTTAAAATACGAGTGAAAATGTGCAAGAAATTCGCTAATTAAAATTAATGTTTGTATCGCACGCATTTTTTTTGTTGTTCTTCATTATATTTACACGCTTAAGCAATTAATTTAATTTGTACAATTGTTTCTCTCTCTCTCTTTCTTCAACTCTTTCAAAGTGATTTTTAAGCTATCTTTTTTTCTTGCATTTTCTTTTCTAATTCTTTGAGCTCAACTCAACTCGTCACGAAGTTCGCCCGCCGCCTATGATTTGGCACTGTTTGGGGGCGTGGCTAGTGGACGCTCTTCGCAACGTTCTTAATACTTTTGCAGGGAGTGCTATAGATGAGAGTTTCAGGTTGTCTATATACACTAAGCCTAGCGCTTTTCATTTTAAGAATATATCACAAATAATTAAATTTAAGATTCGCATTTACACACTCACACACACACACACACACACACAGTCATTCGCACACTCACGCACAACGCTCAGCAATGTAGGCGGCGTCTCTTTAGTAAGGAACTCACGGATAGACAAGATGGAGGAGTGGCCACCTAATGACTCGCATCCAGATCATGCTCATCATCGCTGGCACAATCGTCCATCTCCATGTCGATGAGCTCGTCGTCGTCCTCGTCGCCGCTGCCGTTRTGCATGTTGCGCTCGGAGCCGGAGCCGGAGCCGCCGCCCTTCTCGTCCTCCTGCTGCATGCGCTTGTGCTTGGTGCGACGGTTCTGGAACCAGACCTTGACCTGGGTCTCCGACAGGTTGAGGGACTGTGCGAGTGCCTTGCGCTCGGCTCCCACCACATACTGATTGCTCTCGAAGGCGTGCTCCAGCTTCAGCAGCTGCGACGGCGAGAAGGCGGTGCGAATGCGTTTCGGCTTGCGAAAAGGCTGCAGAAGGAAGTCTGGAAGGAGCAGAAAAAGAAGCGAGTTGGTTAGTCAAAGCTCGGAAGGCACAGGCTAGGCATTGTTACTTACTTCCAGGGAAACGGTGTGGAAAGATGCGGCCGTGGCGACTGAGCAGCCACGGATAGAGCGGGTAGCTCTCGCGCGGCATGCCCGGATTGCCCATGAAGGAGGCGGCGGCGTGCGGGGGCAGGCCAGCGGCTGCGGCGGCAGCTGCTGCTGGACCCAGCACATGGCCGGCCTGCAGGGCTGCGGCCATTTGGAACTGGGCGGCGGCAATCAGATGCGGATTGTGCTGGGGCGCCAACTCCGGCGGCGTGTTGATGTACGGCGGCAGTGCCTTGATGTCGGGCATGCCCGGCTGGCCTTGCGGTGGCGGTGGACCGCCTGGGCCCATCGGGAACGGACGCACTAAGCCCGCTGGCGGCATGCCTGGCAGCATGAGCGGATTGGGGCCGGGGCCAGCGGGGCCTGGGCCGGCGGACGAATGCATGACAGGTGTCTTAGGGTAGCTGGGCGGCTGCTGCTGTTGCTGTTGTTGCTGCTGCTGCTGTTGCTGCTGCTGGTGCTGCTGAGGTGGTGTATTGTGCGGACTGCTGACCAGCAATGTGGGCGATGACGAGGGCTGCGACGATTGCGGCGACACGGACTTGGGCGGCGTGTGTGGCGGCTGAATGCGCTGCGCTGGGTTCTCGAGCTGCTCCGAGCCGGGCGGTGCTGGCGAGCGCTCGCGCTTCAGGGAGACAGCAACGGGTGTGGAGTGCACATCGCCCAGCGGGGAGAGGCGCGTTTGGAGCGGACTGAGGCTGTTGGCGACGGCGGCATTGTGATGCAGGCGCTGCAGCAGCTCCTGGATATCGTGGTGTGACTTTGGTGTGCCCTGCTGCTGCTGATGGAGCAGCAGATGCTGGTGCAGGGCGTGCTGTTGGGCTGGCGAGAGATGGGGATGCGGATGAGGATGCGCATGCGGATGTGGTGCCATGTGCGGCGGCAGCACGTGGGCGGCGTGATGTGTTGGCGGTGCCATCAGATGGTGTGGCGGTGTGGGCGTGGCGGACAGCATTGTGAGCGCAGCGGGCGGAGTCTGGGGCGGCGAGCCGGGCCCATTGCGATCCGGCTGCGGGCTACCAGGCTGCTGATCCGGATTGCCTCCGGCGGCAGTCGCCGTCGCATCGTTGCCAACAATCGATTCGATGCTGAAGCCGATCTTCTGCTTGGGTGTGGGCAACATGACGGCTGAGGTGGGTACCGGCGGAATCATTTTAGTCATAAATACGCGCGTTGATTGTGCGGGCGAGGCGGCGATTAGTTCGGCTATGTTGGCGGCTTTTGTCTATCAAACTGTATCTCAGTTAATCCTTGCGTAGGCACTTGCCTTTGTTTGTTTGGTTGTTGTTTTTACACTTGRCGCACCATTGGAGCGCTTCACTACACACTAAATGGCTGCCGTTAGCTTTGAAACCCTTCGACAGTTGCGGGCGACGGGCACGTAAACAACTTTCTAGCGGGGGGCACAGAGAGTCAACAATTTAGTATTTTGTATGTCTGAGTTTTGCGATCGACGCGCTCGTAACGTGTTCACTCGACGACGTTCACAGTCTGAATAATCGAGAGAAGCGCCGCAGTCACACCAAGTGTACGCAGTGGGAATTATACACATGCACACACACGACTAACGACTTGACGAGCGAGCGCACGCTCTCTCTCTCGCTCTCGCTCACTCTCTTTCTGTCTGTCCGTCTCTCGCTTTCCACAAAACACGTCAAACCGGTCTGCGCCCGCGTCTCGTGAGTGCTCTTGCTGCTTGTGGTATTGCCGTTGCTCGCGCAACGTGCCAGAGCGAGAGCGCAAGAGCAGCTCAACCAGACGCACAGACCAATGAGCGCTGCTCGCCAGCTTGCCATTGCACTCTCGCCTGCTTGTGGATTTTATCTGGCCACGCCATGCTGTCTCATTATCTGAACGGTTCAGTTGCACATGGAGAGGCGTACACAATTTAATTCGCTACGATGTATTTGTGTGTGTTTGTGTATTTCTGCATATGGCTTCCGTTGATTTCTTCAGCCGCTGGTAGTTGTGGTAGTTGTTGCTGTTGTTATTGTTGTTTGGCTGTTGTTCCTCTTTTTGTTGGCATTGTGGCTGTCGCTGTGTAATTTGGCTTACACTGTCATTCATAGTTTTTGTGGTTAGATTTCGATTTGGTTTTTATTTTATTGGACAAAGCAAGCGAAAACTGTTCAAATATTTTAAATTGGACGTTTACTTAGTCAAGTTAATAGTTAGCCAGATATAGATATTATAAATGCTATTGTTTAATTGCAATAATTTAATAATAAAAAATTTAAAAAAATAGTATGCCCCTTCTATTAATTTAAATTTATATTTTATACAGCATAAACTAAATGGATTAAAAAATATTAGACAAATTGAAATAAAATATATATTTCTTATATCATTCCAAAATTTATGAAATAAAAAGACTTTTAATATTATGTGATTATATCATTATATAAAAATGATAATTATTATAAGTGTTAGTGTTAAAATATAAATAGGATTCTTTTTTATATCTGCATATAAGTATAGATCTGTCCACATAAGCATATGCTATGTATACACACATTATTTACTTATACTCATAAATTAATTATCATATGTACATACATATTTACGTATATTTCAGCATGTATATGTATGCATATGTAGATAAGTACTTATATATATATGATAATATATATTATATTTTGACTTTATTTTTCCTGCTATTCTCGATAATTTATTCATGTAAGCAAATAAATATTTACATATATAAATATTTACAGATAATATAAAGATATATACATTTCTCAATATAAGTAATTATTCTAATTAATTCATACATGTCAACTATAGCTATTCACATATTTATTTATATTATATATAGTATATACCATATCAATACAAAATCAGATTTCATCTTCTATATTTCTAATATACATACATATATCATGCATATCAGGCCATATGCGACCAAGTTTGATTTGTGATTTGCATGCTGCTCTGCTAACTTGGCTCGTCCACTCCGCATGCTGATTTTTGTGTGAACTTTGTTCGAATTATATTGAACAGCAGCGGCAGAGCAGCGACTAGCATTGGTTGTCGTGGACGAAGAGTGAATAGAATCGATTCAATTATAAATTCCGCACCACAAATGCACTTCAAAAAGTCGCCCTGTTACCAATAAATCAAATCAGGCGCACATTTTCTGCGACAGTTTTATATAGAGGGCAATACGCGTACGATTTCCATGTTAATTTCTATGCATATATTTAGTTTTTTGTTATTTGTTTTTGCTTTTCGCTTTGGCACAAGACAAACTTTGTGCTATTTATGTATATGTGTGTGTGATCGCAATCCAAATCGAGCTGAAATCAGAGCACCCATTGCCGGGGCAGCTGCCTATTTTRAGAGCAAGACGCAAATATCAATTAGTAATCAGTAAATAATGCCAACAAATAGTTTTCACACTATTTTTTGTTAGCTTTAGTCGAGACGATTGTTCGTCGTGGTTATCGATTCGGGAGCAGCGCACATAATTTATGACTTTCGAAATACACGAGAGTTGAGATTCGTTTGTTTTTCAAAATTAGATTGAAATCTTATTTATAGACAGTTAATGATGTCAACTGCCTACTAGAGCCGATTGCATTCGGTGACCAAGCGGCGCTATTAGAGCATAATTATGCTGATTAATGAGCTTCGTGTACAGGGCATAGCAATCAAATCGAAAGATCAGGGAGCACATTTTAATTGCCAAAACGTGTGAATAACACGCGATAGTGCGAAAACTCAAAGTAAAACAATGGGCTCAGAGTATAAAAATATGTGCCCAAGTAGTTCATTTCACAATTAAGCAAATGCAACATCAAGTGGCTAGATTCACACGCCCACTGCGGGACACTAAGGACAAGAGTGAGTTGGAAAAAAATCGAATAGCCGCAGCGCAAGGACGAGTGCCTGTGTCTCACCGCAGGAACTGCGCAACAATTGTCCTGTTAATGAGCAAATAAAGATATCTGCATTACCAGCAGCAGCAGCAACAGCCGCAGGAGCGGCAGCAACAGCAACAACAGCAGCAGGAGCAGCAGCTTCATCTAAATAGATGTTCGCCTAACCAGCTGTCTGTCCCGAGCTCTAGCACCCGCTGAGCAACCAATTGAGTGCGAGTACACACAGTTCCCGCACCTTAAACACCCTGCAAATAGATCGAAATGCGTAGCCCAAATGCGTTTTCAGTTCGAGTTGAACACAAATAATTGCGAAAGTTGAGCACATACTACTAGCTCTAATGAAATTTTGGTAGATTAGACTAATGCAATGGCAGAAATATTCATAATGCGCAGAGAGTAGAATATTTGCAATTTACAGGGTATCTGCTCATGCAGAAAGTTCGCATTGGCGAATCGCCTGTGACTGCAGATTAAAACCATAAAAAATGCAAGACAAGGGCAAACAACAAGGGCTCAAACAAACACACACACACACACACACAGAGAAAAAACGTATTTATTAAATGGAAATAAAACGAAGGCAATCCCGAGAGACAGACATAGAGAGCGCACAATGCCCAGCCCAGCAGAAAGGTGTCAAAATCAACAATTTTCGAGCTGCAAACAATTCCACAGAAAACAAGGCGCACAGCATGATGCAATTTAGCTCCTCTCTCTCTCTCTCTCTCTCTCTTTCTCTCTCACTCTCTCGCTCAGTGTATATCTCTCTAGCTCCCTATTTTTGGTCACTCGTGTAACAATTTTTCGGCTGAAATCATGTAGCATTTAGATATGAAAACAAGAGTTTCACTTTTGCCTGAGATGAAAGACAATGAAAAACGTGGCAAATTTCCCTTTGTTTAATTTAGTGGCAAGAAATTGTTGAGAAACAAAAAACTGACTTTAATGATGATGAGTCGGCGATTAGAAGAACACTTCGAGTGCACCTCAGGAGTGCCACTAAATTCATTTGAATTGAGTTTGTAATTTTCGATGTTTTCTATTTTCTGTTTTCTGTTTGGTCTTTTTACACTGAAAATGGCACAATTATATAGAAGTCTCAATAGAAGACGGGTGCGTGTGTGTGCTGGCATTTAAATGTAATTAATTTACAGTGCTATAGATTGGAGCTGAAGGCAACGCAGGCGGCAGGTATACATGCATATATATATATATTGTACATATCTAAATCCATATTTCGATTCGTGGAATTTCAGCTCAGATCTATCAATTTCACAGCTCTCATAATAAGTTCGTTTTCCCAACGATCCGCTCATAATTTGAACGCTTGTAAATCCACGCGGCTCACAAAATTATGATGGATGATATTGTGGCTGCATTTTCACGCTTGAGCACCGTGACAGGGGAAGGGAATGGTAGGGGCAGCGGCAGGGGCAGTTGCAGAGGCGTGGCAATAGAGTAGCCGAGAAAAACTCGAAACTGACAGCGCTTCCAATTCAAATGATGATAAGCATGAGAGAGGATCGGATCGGATCGGATCGAGGGCTCCTAGGCGGGGGCGCGCTCGCGTTTGGAATGGGCTCATCAGGCAACTGGACAACAAGCGTTCTGTGCCCTGTCGAGTTCTGAGAAAAACCCATTACAAGGTAAATGCCAGCGCCAAGGGGCAAGGATCAGCATATGCATTTGATATTTCGTGCACGCCACGCAGAACGAGGCCAATCAAGAGCTGAATAAACGAAATGAAATGAGAGAGAAAAAACTAGAAAGAAATACCAAAACAACGAGCACAATAACTACAAAGGCCATAAAATCATATTAAAACACAATTTTTGGTCAACAACTGAGCTGAGGGCTGGAGGGGCCAAGCGACATAAAACATTTATATCTAATCCTTGACAATAATAAAAATCACAAAAACGACATGACAACGATAACGACAATGGAAAATGGAAAATGGGAAATGCTACGAGCTGTCAGCAACGGCAAACATTGCTTTAAATTGTCTGAAAAGTGCTCAACAGCGAGCAGAGAGCAGCGAGCCAAGGCAAGGAAGGCCAACAGCCATAGCCAACAAAAAAAGAATACAGTAGTCAGAGAAATGTCATAAAAATGTCTAGCGCTAGCTCCCACTTTTCACTTTTCTCCTGCCCGCTGCCCTTTCTCTTTCCGTACGTGTGTGCAAAACATTCTACACTATTCAAGAGCCAGGCATTTTTATGACACTTTCCGCAACGGGGCGAGGACTCTCCAGCCCTAGCCCGAGCCCTACACCTAAACGTAAACCTAAACCCAAATCCAAACCCAAACCCAAACCCTATTGCTGCTATCCTTTCGGCCAGCCGTACAACAATCGCATACAAAGAGGAAAATCTTAGTTGCTGAAAATAAAATCAACGTAATTTTTATAGGTTTTCACCGCTATTTTTTAGTGGCCATTCGTACTCGTTACGAGTTGTTTTCTCTGCTCTCTTCTCTGCCGTGCCCTGCCCTGCCCTGCCCTGCCCTGCTCTGCTCTGCTTACTCCCCTTTTTTGACACATTTCAACGTTATTTTTCGGTCGACAGGCACTTTTGTTCGTGTGTCATTATCGTTTGCCTG